CGCTAAGTTGCTTAGGGCCTCACTAAGTTATTGTTATTATATTTTCAGGTACAGGGACTTGTTAAGTTGCTGAGACTGGCTTTGAACTTGTGATCCTCCTGCCTCAGCTTCCCAGGCTGCTGGGATTACAGGCATGCACCACTCTGCCCAGCCTCTCACCCTATTTGAAAAGCTCATTTTCTCCTTCATTCTGAAGGAAGCTGTTGGATTGCCTACAATTCTGGTAATCCTTAGGATAAATAAAATGCTTAGAATTTTGCCAATTGTTTAATAATCTCCATCTGGGGCTTGCTCCATTTTTCATTTTAAGTAGCAAAATTATATATTCAAACTTATCTTTGAACTAAAATGTTCAAGAGTGAAATGAGTTTCTTCATGATGTGTGCAAGCAGGAATTAGATCATCTTCAGTCACTTCTCCTACTTTAGATTTGGGGCAATAGTGAATCAGGCCAACTCTATATCCTGAAATCTTAGTAGTTTTCTTTAGTGCATGGCCAGTATATTTCAGATTGCCTTCTTCACCTCAAATATGCATCCCTGAGTGTAGTAAATGATTGGATAGAATTAGCAGGACACTTCCACAAAATGACTTACATAACATATTAGAGAAAGAAGCAATGGGAAGAGCGTAAAACTTTGGCTAGTGTCTGGCACCCGATTGGACAAAATATTTCTTTGTCAGGATCTCTTTTTGGAAGTGGGCGTAAGTCTGGAAAATTTTAAGCAGCAGATTTATTTTACTAACAAAATTAAGGGAATATAAGGAATTAGAAAAGACTGAACTGCAGAAGTCCTCTCTGCTATGGAGGGACTCCGAGAAGATGCCTCGTCTAGGTGTGTCTTCTTGAGATAGAGGAAATAAAGGTTCAGATGACAGATGGCAATTATAGACAATGTCTCCTCTCTCCAAATTACGAAGTATTTGGGGAAAATTACAGAGGTGTTCAGGATGACTCTGGGTAAGTGACACATTCAACTTTTATCTGAGCCATTCTCCATTTCAGATTGAAGCTCTGAGTCTCAGATGCGTGGTGGAATCTGGAATCTGCCTACCTATGCACAGCTTGCCTGGGGGCATCGTACTGCCCCTTTCTCACCTCTGCATCCAACTTCCCATCCTCTGCCCACTCTCTGAAAGATCTTGCTGGAATGTTTGTCTAGGAAAAACTACCAATGAAATAAGATAATGCTGCTAAGAAGGAAAAGTGAAATTATGGGTATCTGGTGGATTTGGATTTTCTCCGTAACCCTTCCACTGGACTTAACAAAAGGATTGTTTCCTCTAATCCCAGGTGGAAAGCTTACATCAACGGAAATAGTGTGCAGACACTGACCACTTGGTCTCTTGGCACAAACCTTGTCACACTTTAAGAGTGGGACCAATGTACTGTGGACATTTGTGTTTTTCAAAGAAAAACATCACTACTATGATCTAGCTTAAAATTACCTAACTTATAATTCCTTTCAAGGAGCTTTAGTGAGGAGTAAATTTTGATGGAAGATTCCCATTTTTGTGTCACTTGGTGAAATTATCACACGGCTCTTATGGGATACAAAAATCATGGGGGAAACAAAAATTAATATGGTAGTGAAACCTACCACACCAACACAAAATGAAATAGAGTTAGACACTAACTTATTTGTTTATTTGGGATTAAACCCAGGGCACTTAACCACTAGGCCACATCCCAGCGCTTTTAATTTTTTATTTTGAGACAGGGTCTTGCTAAATTGCTGAGTCTGGTCTCAAATTCACAATCTTCCTTCCTCAGCCTCCTAAATTGCTAGGATTACAGGTGTGCATGTAATCCCTACCATGCCTGGAAGACACTAATTTATGAATTAGGGTTGTTACCTAAAATGGAGAATTTAATTTCTAAGGTGGGGTTTGTTCCCAAAGGATCAGAATGACCTTTCCTCAGGTGAAATGTGCTGTCTCTGCCAGCTGTCCATTCCAGTTTCTGTGTTGTCAATGAGGGACCATGACCTCAGGCTAGCTCTCTGTTTTAGCTTTTGCCAGCGTCCTCCAGTACCCTCTGGTTTAAACCCTCTGTGGTCTGTTGCCAGCTGTTCCTAGACCACACTTCATCCTCTGACACTGCGGCGTTGGGACCAGCCATTTCATCTGGGTCACTGTGGTTATCATCATAGTGTAGTTTGAATACTGGTGCTACTGGTTAGCCTGGGATAGAATTCAAGTGTTGTAACACTAATGGAGACTCACGTCTTGGCTTGTTAGGTGGTGGGTAGTGGGGTTGCTTAACACAGCACTTCAGTTCAAAGTGAAGGCAAGAGGGAGTGGAGATCGTAGATCATAGATCACAGAGCAGATGTTAACCGAGAAGTGCCAGAGTTGTTTGGTTGTGGAGCAAACTTGCAGGCACACGAATTATCGATGGAACTCACCAACATGTGCAGGGGGAAAGAAAGCCAACAGAGCCACTGGAGGAATCCATCCAGCTAATGAGCAGCTTATAGCTCTTTGGCAATTTGTTGAACCTGGGACTTATTGCAAAGCCAGAAAGGTATTGGGCCCTGGGGATATTGGCAGCACGGTTGGGAGTCTCCCACTATTAAAAGCAAGCTTTGCCAATGGGATTTTTTTTTTCTTCTTCAGGTGTTCAATGTTGAGTTTTGCAGGCAAGGCTAAGACTTCTGGAGAAAGCAACATTAATCACATTGGTATGTTAGGTTAACATAGCTGATAGGTGCCCAAACTCTGTGCAGGTAGGGACGCTAAGGTCTTACCATCGGAATCATTAAACCCATTCATTCATTTACTCATTCAATAAATGCTTTCTGAGGTCCTCCCAGGTGTCAGGAGCCACATCAGCTCAGAGAAAGACAAACCCAGCTAGGATCTCTCTTCTCAACTCTCAGGTCACATGTCCTGAACTGTCCACATTCTAAATCTATGACTCTCTCACATCCTGTTCTTAACTCGTGACTCTGGAATTCTCTTTTGAAAGAAAGGTAGGGGTCAAAATCTCACAAGGATCGAGTGAAAGTATTTTGTGATTTATTTATTTAATCTTTAGAACATATTCATTGAGTATCTATTCTACACAATATTTCCTAGAAACTGGTGATGAAAATAGACTCTCCAGAGGAAATTTCTGCCTATCTACATTCTGCATGAGAAACCATACCATAGTCCCATAAAGTTATTTGGACTTTATGGGAATAATAATGAATTCCTGTTCATTGACCAGAGTCCAAGAGAAATGTGAATTTGTAAGATTTTCAGACTTTAGAGGACAGGAAAAAAAAATCAGAAAACTTACTCTCTTTACTTATGAATCTGATAGGCCAGACAGAAGCAAATGATTGTGGTTTGGCAGTGGCCCCTCCCCAGGGACCAAACTCATTCTCCAAGTTCCTTCTCCTTACTTTCCCCACCAGATCAAATCACTAGCCAGATCCCAGGGATTCCAGCTCTGTATGTCCTCTTCACCTCTCCCTCTGACATGCCCCACCGTGGGGCCTGGGGATCAAGCCCAGGGCCTTTCAGTGCCCAGCAACTGCTCTACCACCGAGCTACACTCTACCCCTTCATCATGCTTTTTCACACACACACCTTCCCTTCCTTTCTTTTGGGCTGCCATAGCTTCAGTGGGAAAGCCTTATAACTTCTGCATAAATATCTCTACCAAAGGATTGTGGTCAAAGATCCCCTTATCTCCAGTCTTTCCCAACTCTAAGCCATTTTCCGCAGTGCTGCTAGATTTATCCGCTGGGTTGAATTAGTCCTTTCCTTAAAAAAGCCACACTTTAATATTGCCGCTTGAATTAAGCATGCATTTCCCAGCAGAATATCAAGTAAACCAGCGTGATTGTTAAGAGCGTGGATTCTGGAATCAGAAACATTCTGTTCAAAATTCCAGCTTGACCCATTAAACCTCAGTATTCCAATCTAAAAAATGGGGATGATGATACTTATATCCCAGGTGGCAATGAGAGACAATAGAGGACATTTGGTATTCTTAGCACACTGAGTAGGCTCTTGATAAGTCAGATTAATAATCATATTGGTACTAGTAATTATTATACTTTACAACTCCAGCCTAATTTTGCATATGGTCTCCCAATATGGCTTTATTTTCTCACCTTTGTTCAAGTAGTTTTTTCTGTGCAGAATGCTCATTTTTCTTACTCTTTTTCTACCTTCCGATAATCTCCAGTTGGATATTTGGGAAGGCTTTAGAAGACAAACATTTTTCTTCTCTTAATGAGCCCCTTGCTTGCATCTCTTGATCCTTCTTTTTGTACCTTTTATATTTATTGTACCTGGACTGGCAAGTCAGGGCGTCCCTAACTCTGCTTTGTCTTATCCTAATACTTTTGGGCTATGGGTTCTCCACAGAGATGGAATCTTGACTTTCCTTCTCCTAGCACACAGTCTTGCACTAGACTACTTTGGAGTTGTTTTCTTTACTTGTCAGATGGTTGACATGAATTCTTGGTGGCTGGTGAGAACCTGGGTGGAACAGCCACCAGTCTTTGTGGCCTGCCCTGCATCTTGGCTGTGAACAGGGGCCAGTGTGTGTAGCAGCCCACTCTCAGAAATCACCAGTGCCCTCAGAAACATCTTGGCTCTGGACATTTCTGGTTTTCAGGATTTCTTGGATTATTCATCAAATTATTGATTTCAGAGTTACCGAAAGCTGGATAGACATGGAAATCCTTTATGTCACTCGTTCGTGTCTCATGTGATGGAATGGGCTCCACTGAGCTGCCCCTTCTTGGAGAAACATTCCCTAACACCGATTGTGGGTGGAGTGATGACTTCATTCCCTCGGAGCTTCCTAAGGCACTTTGTGTACTCCTAAGCACGGCTCCCTGGACATGCAGTTGTTTGAAGCTGTCCCAAGACAAAGCAATGGCTCGGTTTCCTTTCTGTCTCCAGTGTTCCATACAATGTCCAGTATGAAATGTCAGTAAGTATGGACTGAGCTGGATGAACCCCAAAGAGTTTAAGAGACTCATTGCTTGCCATCTCTCAGTCCCCAGGCCCATGACTGTTTTTAGCCACCAGGCTGCTCTTCCTCACCAAATTTCTACCATCCCCCTTCTAGAAGTCTAAGAAAAATGCCGGGTTAAAATTGATCATTAAAGACTTCCTATTGACTCTTGAAAGTGCAATCGTTTTAAGCAGGAAAAATCACTTACCTTTGGCAGAAAAACACATCAAGAACAAGTGTGATTACATTGGTACGTGGCAAAAGCCACAAGAGACGTATACAGGTGCTCTAACAGTTTTTCCTTCCGAATTATCAGCTGTGTGGTATTAGAGAGGCGAGGGAGGCCTGGTCTCTGCTGTATCCTGAAGGCAGTGGTTAGCATCACTCGGGGGTTAATGAAGATTGTTGAAATGGAGCTTCCGTTGGTGGTTAACCCCTGCCTTCTGCAGGTTCGTGTGAAACACCTGACTGGCGACTGGCACTGTGCTTCAGATGTGTCCATGCCTATTAACCCTGCGTGGGGGTCTGTCTGCTCTGGGACACACAGGTGAGGACATATTGACAGTGAGTAGCTTCTTCCATCTTGTACAATTTAGAACACAGCAATGTATATGAATAGGGGCTGCCCTGGATGTGAAGTGCCAAAGATAGATCAAATATAGGAACTCTGTCAATCAGAGGAGGGGACAGTCACTGAAGCAGTGGGGAAAACAAGTTCAGGCTATTAGCTCTAGTCTCTCCTGAGTCTGAGTAAATCACCCTGGTTTTCCTGGAACTTCCCTTTGTGAAGGGGTTGACATCCTTGGTATCTGATGATTCTTACCAAACCTCAGGGCTTGGGACACTTTAGAATCAGGACCATATAATGGCCAGAGGCCAGAGAATCATGGAAAGGCATTCTGTTTGCCCCTCAGGTCAAATGTTGACAAAGGACATTCCTAAAAAATTTCAAATGCCTCACCTGGATGAAATGACTTGTCGGAGCCCCTGGTAGTCTTAGGATACAATGGATTCAGAGGGAAGAAAGACCTAGATTTGAATAAAGGCTCATTTTTTTTTTAAACTTTGAGGAAAGTCAGTGTGGTAGTTCCCAGGGGTTCCTGCAGAAGGTATGCTTTCCTCAATGGGCAACTGAGAAAAGCACTTTATATACTCCATGGGGTTCTCCTGGGAAGCAGAACAGATAGGGTGCAATGTATATGCACAGGGAAATCTATTTTTAAGGAACTGACCCATAAGACTGTGAGTGTTGGCAAGTCTGTAAGGCAGGCCAGTAGGTTGGCCAGGGAAAATTGGGCAGAGTTTTTTTTTTGTACCAGGGATTGAACCCAGAGGTGCTTGACCATAAAGTCGCATCCTCAGCCCTTTTTAATATTTTATTTAGAGACGGGGTCTTGCTGAGTTGCTTAGGGCCTCGCTAAGTTGCTGAGGCTGACTTTGAAATTTGCAATCCTCTTGCCTCAGCCTCCTGAGCTGCTGGGATTATAGGTGTGCACCCCAATCTCAGGCCGAGTTTTTATGTTGCTCTCTGCGGGGAAGAATTTCTCCTACTTGGGGAAAACTCAGTTTTTAATTCCCAAGGCTTTCATCTGACAGGGTGAGGCCCACCCTCACTAGGGAAGGTATTGTGCTTCATTCAAAGACTACTTGTTTAAATATTTAAATTGCATGTACATAATACCTCCACAGAAACATCTAAACTGGTGTTTGACCAAACAACCAGGCACTGTAGCTTAGCCAACTTGATATATAAATTTAAAGTGACTTATACAGAGCAGAGATGCCCGAGAATCCTCACCCTCTCTGGATTCTCTATCTGTCACTCCCCCCCAAAAATTCATTCCAGTATTTTAGGTTCACCTGCTTGATCTCAGTAGCTCCTTTACTCTCATTTTCACCCCTTTTTCCTTTCCTGCTTGCATCTTCCAGGTCCCACGCCTTGCACCACTTGGGTCCTCTGTATGCTCTTAAAAAGACTCCCATAATCCTCCTGCCTTCACTCTGACAGCCTGACTCCCTTCGCCTTCAGCCTTCAACAGCCCTTTCTTTTCTATCCTGGACCTTTATGTTGTGACAGAAACTCCAGGGACTTGGGTTGGTTCTATGCTGGGGGGAGTCCCCTCTCTAGGATATGATGAGTTCCCCAATACCCTGGTCAAGCCCAAGCCCACTCCAGGCTGCCATTCTGCATGGCCACCCTGGGGTGAAGAGCAGGGAAGCCACACTGCTGGCGGGCTTCACTGCCTGCACGTGCAGCCCACTTACCAGTGCCTACACTTGGTCATGGTCCTGGTGTGTGAGAGGAGCCACTGAGGGCCCCTGCAGATCATGAGCAGAAAGGAACCCCAAGGGGCAGAAGGGGGTGTGTGTTCTCCAAAGGGCTGCCACCAGGAAGTCCACACAGATTTTCAAGGGCTACCCTTTTAGAGGTTTGGATGGTCCTTATCTAATTGCACCTTCCAGGGACCCTGATGCTGAAAGAACTAGGAGCAGCTATTCCAGGTCTGGACATGACTGGAGAAGATTTTGAGCCCAAGGAAGACATATTCAGATGAAGAATCGGAGAAAAACTAGTTCCAAGTCATACAGCTAGTTTTGCCAGGGCACAGACTAGAACTGTGTCCCCTGACTTCCTCCAACTCCCTGTAGTCTCAGTGTTTTTCTCAAGGAGAGGCAGAAGATGGATGTGTCTGGTGGCCAGGGAAGAATTCCACTGGTAAGTCCTTGCTTCTCACTCTTCTGGGTTCAGATATGCATAAAAAGTGCAAGCATTCTTTTAGGAGAGGGACCAAGTTGCTTGGTGCTCAAAATCTAGGGGTACCTTCGAAGGGCTCTATGTTCTGTCTCCGGAAGCTCCATGAATTATCAGGATAGCATCTTAATGACAGGTTTCAGAGGGCAGGGATAGCCATCCATCTCTTTAAATCAGAAATTATCTCACCCTATTTTATAGTATAGAATGTAACAGTCATCCATTAAAAAATAGCTTAGACCATCTCCTGTTTTCTCAGAATAATTATGAATACATATATATTAATAATATATACTTTTTACCCTTTCTCCTCAGGCATTTATCCACAGAAGATCATCAGAGATATAAGAATTTCTCTTGAGACTACATTTTCGTTTTAACCCTTTCCCCTGCTCCCAAACCTCCACGAGCAGCTTCAGCACCCACTCAGGTTGTAGAGAGAATATTATTGCTGTTACCTACCAGTGCCCTTGTCTCACTTGCAAAAATTCCCAGAAAAGTCTAATAAAAACAATAAAACACCCTCCAAAACATTATTTTTGGTCAAGTTCCTTCAGTCTTTTTGCTTGATTTTACCTAGGTTTGTCTAAATGATAGGTTGGCAAGGTTATTCAATGAAACTATAAAACTTCAAGCTCTGCAGTTCTAAATATTTGTTTCTTTAGAAACTCTAGACTTTCATTTTATTTTAAAGGCCCACTTTCTTTGTTTTTTTCTATAAACATCTAATTACGACTCTAGCTGCCTCTCCCACTGAGATTATGAGCTCCACATGCAGAGATTAGGTATAATTCCATTTATTTGGCTGCTCCTATTTTACGATTGGAAATGAATTAAAGTATCACAATAACACAGATCAACTACAAAAATCATAACAACAAGGTTGATGTCCAGTGCATAATATGGAATCAAGATTTCACATCTATTTACATTCATTTTCATTATGACCCTGAGCTGTGCACTGTGGCACATGCCTGTAATTCTAGCTACTTGGGAGGCTGAAGCAGGAGGATGGCAAATTCAAGGCCAGTCTCAGTAACCGAGAGAGACCCTGTTTTAAAATAAAAAAATAAAAAGAAAAGAAAAGAAAAAATAAAATAAAAGGGACTCAAGCAGGAAAGAGGAGGGGGTAGAAAATAATAGCTCATGGAAAGTACTCTTGGTTCAGTGCTGACTACTGCCCAAACCAAAACCAAACCAAACCAAACCAAAAGAGCCATACTGAGAAGATATGATGATTCCCACCCTTAGGCAAAAAGACTAAGCTCAGAGAGCTGCTATTGGCCAGTTCCACATCTAGGATGGGACTCTCCCTTGGATCCCAGGTTCACCATAGACCCGGACCCAGGTTCTTTGTCACCATCACCATGAAGGGCCAGGTTGTGCCCGATTATGTGTGTGTTCCTTTACGGTGTAACACTTCTTCTGAGGTTTGCTACAGCAGGGGAGGGAAAGGTAAAGGCAGAAGAATATGATGAAGGGCCTGGACCTCAGGTTTGATCTGATCATGCCTAGTGGTGAATTTCTCACTGGGAATCTCCTGTTATCATCACACATCCAGCCAATTCTAGGGGAAGAAACTCAAAGATATCTACAGAGCAGAAGGACTTTGAAAAAAAAAACAGAGGTCTGATTGCATTTTTTCGCTTTCCTTAAAGAACACTCTGTTCCGGTTATTGATTGCTGGGGTAATAAACCACCCCAAATGAAATGGTTTAAAATAACATTTTATTATTATTATCTGTTGTGGTTCTGGGTTCAGGTTGGTGGTTCCTGCTTGCAATCCCTTACATGGAGGCTCTGTCACTTATGTGTTTGACTCATTAGATGGGGAAAAACATCTGGTCTACCTGATTCTCCTACAAAACGGAAAGCAGGGGCCACATGCCAGGAAACAGCTGAGCAATGGAATCTCTGTCTCTGTTCTCTCTAGTAGTGTGCTGGTTTCCAGAAAACTAGAAGTTTTACATGATAGCTCAGAGCTCCAAAGATATGTGGAATGAGAAGAAAAGAGACAGATTAATAGCTTTGAATACCATACTGTCTATTATCACCTGTCTTCAGCTCTGATGCACATTATTTCTGTTGCCTTCTTTGGTTGAGGGGAAATAGACCCCACTTCTTGACAGAGATGTGCCAAGGTTGTGAAAGACCAGGTGGCAACAGAAATACTGTTGCTATCATTTTTTAAAAATACAATTACCTTGTGGTGCACCTGGGCTCTGTTTTCTATTTAGTAAGGAGAATTTGTTAGACCAGATGATCTCTAAGGTCTTTGTAGAGCATGCACTGGTGACTAAAGTGAATCAACTCCTTTGGTACACTATGAACATCAGACCTCTGTCCCCCACAGAATCTATGGAAACCACATTTATAGTGACTGCTCTACAACCCTAGTCTCTGTGACACGGTTGGTTCAACAACTGTTTTCTGGTTCCTTGGAGGTCTCTAGTGCCTATTTCCAGGGAAGGAGTTCCTTTAAAGAGGGAAGAATATGGTCATAGCATTCTAGTCTAAGTCCACCAATTCATGGATGAGTAAATCAAGCTTCAGTGAATGTGCAGAGCATGCCATTCTAACAGAGATGTTCAAAATTGAGAAGGAGGCAATTAAGATGGTGAGTGATGTAAAAATCTTGCTAAGAGGAGTGGTTAAAGGGATCTAGCCTGGAAAAAAGAAGACATACAGGTATCATATTAAAATATTTGCAGGAACTTCTGGAAAGAAAAGATTAAAATTGCTTGGTATGTAAAGATTAGCAAAGTTGATCAACATTGTAAGGGGTCTAATTCCCTTCATACCATGAAGGAAACAGGTAGTTCAAAAACAGTGACCTGTTTGATTAAAGTAACATATGCCAGAAAGTGTTTAAGAATGAGTTGTAGAGGGATGGGGTTGTGGCTCAGTGGCAGAGCACTTGCCTGGCAGGTGTGAGGCACTGAGTTCAATCATCAGCACCACATATAAATAAAAAAAAAAATAAAGATACATTAACAACTAAAAATATTTTTTTTTTTAAAAAAAGAATGAGTTGTAGAAAAGTTCAGTCCTATGTTGGGCAAGCAATTGGGCCCTGAAGTCCCTCTACGTGTTAAAATTCTCTGAAGACAGTAACTGCATGGCATAATGATAGCTGTCTTGTTCTAAATACTAAGAAAGAGTGCAATGGTCATGATGTCCAAAGAGCTAACTCATCAGACAGCTTTGAAAGTGGATCTGATTTACTTAATCCAAAAATTGAATTAAAAACAAGTTTGAAACGTAGACTACCTGTGGAGCACAACTTTATTTTCAGTGATTCTGTGTGTTAGCTGTGCCTATATCGTGTATACTCAAAAGGTTTTAGCAAGTGAGCCATGTGATATTTAAATATGGAAAGGGTGGGAGAATTGTCTCACATATCTCGAACTCCCTTTTAGAACCAAAGAATGTTCTTGGCACTCACTAGACAAATCAGTGTGGATTGATTGACACTTGTTGAATATTGATTGCTACTTCTTGTTGATGCCTATTGTTTGGAACCTGCAAAACATTGTCTAAGCAAATGGGATGGTAGCCTTTAGCTTACCTGGATGCCCTCTGTTTTGAATGGGCATTTTCACAGATTGACAGAAATCTTAGCCTTGTTTTCTCTAGTAGCAGAAAGCTTCCCCACTGCTTTCAGGCTAGGGCTTTTCTCTAAGGGCATTTCCCAGTGCTTATCTCAGGAAAGATGCTCATGGCTGCCAGGAGGGACGTGCATAGGAAGGACTGGTCTTCCCCCAAATCAAGACTTGATAATTCAATTCCATACGCTCCATGGAGCTTGCAAGACCCTGGGAGGGGATGTGCAAGGGCATAGGGCTGCTAATAAGTGTTTTTGGACCTTAGTCCATGAGCAGGGCTTCCGAGAGCAACCTCCTAATGCTGGTGACTGCCTGGTGTGGTAACTCGAGCATTTTCACAGCAGAGAGAAGGCAGCAAACTCACATGTGGTTAACTGGATACAATCAGGACACCTTCAGCTTTCCAAACCCATGGTGACCCCTGAAACACGATTTTATTTGCCCTGTTAATCATCCTCAATTCTCCTGGGGCTGCAGGCATTTCCAGTGCTGGGGACTCAGGCTGTCCTGGTCATTCTCTGCACAGCAGTCGCTGTACTGAATGGCAATGATTTTTAATTCTCCTTTAACACAGTTTAGCACTGACTGACAGATGCAGGCAGCAGTCTTCCTGCTGTGACTCTGCTTATAGGTGGTGCAGCTGCTGCCCCCCTAAGGAGCAGTGCAGGAGAGAGCTCAGCAGGGTCTCTGAGCCATCCTGCCTGTACTAGATATGGTCACGGGGAGCGGGGTCTCCATCCTCAGCTGAGATCTTCCTCTCCCTCGCTAGACCTGGAGTTTTATGAAAGATACACCTGCCAACTGTGAAAAACTAGATAACCTGCATGTGTCTCAATAAACCAATGATCAAGGTATCTTGCAAAGATAAAGTACTTTGTCATTTATGATGCTCATCAAAACCATCGTCACCACCCTTCTTATTAAGTGTTAATATAATGATACCAAGATTAAGGAAAAGTGGACAGCACTGCAGCCACATTTAAACTGGTCCTGTTTTGTTGCAATTCACCAGAATCCCCAAAGGGACAATTGAAGAATAACATAACCCTGGATTATCCCATCTCTCCTCTGTCCCCAGACAGTCATTTTGGTAAATTAATTTACAAAAGGCTTATTTGAGTCGAAATTTTGGGCAGAGTAGTTGTTGACTACATGTTTGACTTTGCTTCTTGCAGGGTTGACATAAGGTAGATGTAATGCAAAACTCAAGTTGGAGCTTCTTAATGTGGTGAAAATTACAGTGATTTAGTTCTTATGCTACTTCCAATTTGCCAGCCATATTTTATGGGCACACTAGTGGGATACACTCTGCTGACTGTATGTTAAAACCATATTTTGTTAATTAGAGGCCTGTAATAAATAAATCACTCATTTTTATGGCATATAAGTCCACTCTTGACTCACAAAGTTTGGCATCTGGCAATGATTATGTCTCCTGGGGTGGCTATGAAAATTCCCCCAAACCCTTTTCTTCACCTGTTTGGGGAGAATTATGATGGAAACTTTACTTTTGCAGAGGAAAAGTAAGAAGGGAGACTGATCTTTGTAAGCAGAGTTATTCAGAATGAAAGCAGCAAGCTAGACCAGTATCCATGATATCACAGTCTTGGGAAGGACTTGTACGATTTGTGAGATTTTTGCTGTATTTTTTGCCCCTTTTGAGGAAAATGTTAAACTATAAGCCTCTTCAAATTCTTTCTAGAACACAAAGAGTATAAATAAGTAAAGGTATTATAAATATAGAAAGTTTGGGAAAATATTATTTTATTTTAAGGAGGTTTAATCATAGTAATAAATTGCATTTTTTTATACTTAACTTCTTTGGCCATTGTTCAAAGGTAAATTGATTTTATTTGACCTGTTAATCATCTTCAATTCTCCTGGGGCTGTAGGCATTTCCAGTGCTG